ACCATCTTAGCATGCATGCTAAATCAAATGACTTATCAATGAAGCCTTTATTTGGTCTTACCTGACCGATAGTCAATACAGCCGCTACAGTAGCAGTGAGCCGAAGTACTTCCACACCAACCACCGGAGGAACAACAGGGGCCGCTTCCATTCGGGTTACACTGGCCGGGGTTGGCTCCTGGAGCCGGAAAGTTGGGGCCACATTTCCAGTCATCCCTCCATTTTTTTGGTCCTAGAATAACAGGCATGAATTGGTAAAATATATGAAAGAGATTTAAACAAAATAAAAACTTTTTCTGATACCGAACTTAACATGTCTTAGTGAAATGATATATATTTCATACTTCAGAATATATTTTTGATAAAGCTAAAAATTGAACTAGGGAAATACTTACGATAATCAATACAGCCGCTACAGGTGCAGTGAGCCGCAGTATTTCCACACCAACCACCGGTGGAACAACAGGGGTGGTTTCCATTCGGGTTACACTGGCCGGGGTTGGCTCCTGGTGCCGGATAGCTGGAGCCACATCTAGAGTCACTCCTCCATTTTTTTGGTCCTAGAATAACAGGCATGAATTGGTAAAATATATGAAAGAGATTAAAACAAAATAAAAACTTTTTCTGATACCGAACTTGACATATCTTAGTGAATATATTTCATACTTCAGAACATATTTTTGATGAAGCTAAAAATTGAAGTAGGGAAATACTTACGATAATCAATACAGCCGCTACAGGTGCAGTGAGCCGCAGTATTTCCACACCAACCACCGGAGGAACAACAGGGGTGGTTTGAATCCGGGTTACACTGGCCGGGGTTGGCTCCTGGTGCCGGATAGCTGGAGCCACATCTAGAGTCACTCCTCCATTTTTCTTGGCGTGGTCCTGGCAATGGTTAACGGTTAATTGAGCAGGGCAAACAACGCTTAACGGTAAATTCAGAACGGTCGGCAACGCTTAACGGTCAATTGACAGGCATTTTTAAACGAGCTGCACTAGATTTGGTATCTGAATTAGTGAGAAAAATTTATAACTGACATAATTATATACCTGACATCAAGCTGATTTTAAACCTCTCTGCTTACATGTAATGAAGCATGCATTAAAGGTACATTTTTACTTCACATTTTTTAATGGTATATTGGTCAAACAGTAACCGTGCAGTCGTAGCCTTTATACGGCTGAATTGATGCGGGGTTTACAATCGGTTTACAATCACATAATAATCAATCAATAATCACACATGATACACAAATTTGCTCCACATATTTTTGTGGAATAGTTGCAAGAGTCTGTGCGGCTCCATTCGGCGCCACAAGGTGACCTCAATACGACTTTTCCCTAACCAAGTTAGGTACCCATTCACACCTGGGTGGAGTGAGGAAAGTCATGGAAAGTGCCTTTCCTATTAGGGCACAACGTCGGGGCGCATATGTCCAGACATGTCCCGGATCACATTGTCGACGAGCTTCGGCCGTATACGTATTTGTCGATCGCCGAAAGATCGGGGGATTTTGAGATCGACCGACGATCGCGCGTATTTTTGGCTTGAACGAAAATCGTTGCCGTCACACATTCAGCAGTGTGAGGCTCGAGCGAGGCTCGGGCGATGGCATGTTTGTCAGTGAAATGATATAATAAATGATTTTGATGAATCTAAAAATTGAACTAGGGAAATACTTACCATAATTAATACAGCCGCTACAGGTGCAGTGAGCCGCAGTATTTCCACACCAACCACTGGTGGAACAACAGGGGCGGTCTGAATCCGGGTTACACTGGCCGGGGTTGGCTCCTGGTGCCGGATAGCTGGGGCCACATCTAGAGTCACTCCTCCATTTTGGTCCTAGAACAACAGGCATAAACTTATATATGAAAGTAAAATTCATGTATATGAAAGAGATTTAAACAAAATAGAAACTTTATCCAATACCGAGTCCAACACGCTTAACATGTTTCTTTTTAGTGAAATGATATATATTTCATTTTTCATATTTCTGATGAATCTAAAAATTGAAGTAGGGAAATACTTACGATAATCAATACAGCCGCTACAGGTGCAGTGATCCGCAGTACTTCCACACCAACCACCGGAGGAACAACACGGGCCGCTTCCATTCGGATCACACTGGCCAGGATTCGCTCCTGGAGCCGGAAAGTTTGGGCCACATTTCCAGTCATTCCTCCATTTTGGTCCTAGAATAAGAGGAATGAATGATAAAGGCATTAAAAGAAAACTTTGTCTATTAAGGTTTTAAGCGCGACAAAACTGGATTTTACACTCAATTTTCTTGTCTTTCTTTAATGTAGCAAGTTGAATCAATCTTATCTATAGCATAATGACATCTGTGAGACAAAAACACTATATCTCTGAAGAAAAATGGATCACTTGTTTTGTATCGTAGGCTGCTTTCAGCTATTTATGTGTGGTACCCAAAGATTAAGAAACACGTCACGTAGCTTATTTTATTTTGTGGCTATATGTACATATCTTTTTGGGAGTGACCTGTTCGCGACATTACAACCACTCTCTCATAGGCGTAATGTTGCAAGCCTGGCTGTACTTTATCGTTATTTCCACTGTAAATGCTCGCTAGTGCCTCCACTTAGAACTTTCTCAGCAAGGACACGTTTTGCTACTTCTATTGAAGGAAATCACCCTTTCTTCCTCCATACACCACCTCAGGAGGAAGTTCCACGCTGAAAGCTTTCGTAAAAAAAACATCACTATGGAACAAGCTACATGCTACTGATTGTTTCCCAAATAGGTATATAACGTTAAACTTTCCAAGTCTAAGGCCAACAAACATTTGTCCTCACTGACTAGTCTAGCCCAAAACATTTGAGTGGCTCTCATGAGCCTTGTTTAATGGTGAATATGAAGTAATTATTGTAAATTATTGAAATGCCATTACATGTTAATATCAAATTTCCTAATCTAGTATGTTTTTTGTTTTGTTGTGCCACCCTGAAATTGTATTGGATGCCTTCAAAGGTTTCATTCTCTTGGGAAATACTCACGATAATCCTTACAGCCGCTACAGGTGCAGTGGTTATCAGTACTTCCACAATAACCTTCGGAGGAACAACAGGGGGCGTCTGAATTCGGATCACACTCCCCTGGGTCGGCTGCTGCTGCAGGGAAGTCGGGCCCACATCTGCCGTCAGATCTCCACTCCCTTTCTATGTCGCTAGCTAATAAAGGAAACAAAAAAACATACAACAGTGAGTTGGACCATCTTATGTGCTTTATTACACCAAAAAGCTATCTCTTTAGTTAAGAAAGCTTTTAAAACCTTCGCAAGGGTATTAAACCTCTTACGTTCGCAAGTCACGCCATCGGAGGCCACAGTGCTATCAGGTGGGCACTGGTCGACGCATTCGGTAGTCCCGTCATCATTGGGGAGGACAAAGTTGCTACACACGCACGTCACACCATTGGGAGCTACTTCCATGTCGGCTGGGCATTCTCCCACGCACTGTGCCACTCCATCCTCATTGCGGACGGAGAAGTGCCTACACAGGCGACATTCAGTGTCGAGCTTCGATCCAGGCGACTTTGGAATACATCCTGTATTGTGAGGTAAAGATCGATCAGGTTGATAAGGCCGTTGTTACCTGGGTCCATATTTTTTGGTTTTACATCTAGAAAACACTTTAGTTTTCTAATGTTATTCAGCTCTGTTAAAACTAAGTTTTGAACGTTTTAGCTAATGTATTCATTGTTGTGATAAGCTTTTGTGCTTTACTTTAACGATAATGATACAGACATATGTAAAATTTTATGCTAATTAGTTATAACCTTATCTATTTGTAATTATGGGCAGTATGTTGTGAATACTTGGCATATTTAATGCCCTTCGCTGTGACACGCCAGTCGAAAGTCAATAAATCTGAATCTGAATTTTTGTTGACAGCTGTTCTGCCCCCATGGCTAAAGCTGTGGAGATGATGGTGTTGATGAAACACAAAGCTTACCGTTACATTCTGGGTGGCAGTTTTCCACGCACATGCCGTCCTGCAAGATAGTCCCCCCTGCACATTCCATTTCTCCTGTTGCACCTCCTTCGATGACTCGGGCGTCCATGACTTCAACGTCTGCTTCCCCACTGCCAAAGGAGTAGAAGCGAATTCCCAATGGCGGACTGTCATCCAGGTAGACCATGTAGACCAAACCTTTTTCCTGTCGACAAAAATGTTAGACATGTATGCCACAGTACTAGTGCACGTCTATCCGGTTAATGTAAATTAGGACACTAGAGCAGATGCGAAGTGATGGGAATACCTATGGCTAAATTTATAAGCATATTACTTACGGAATCATCTGACCCAATGCCGTATTTGACGTAGGTTCGTTGTTCCTCCATGTCTTCCTCCATACAAATAAAGTATGGCTGAAACAATGTGGAATCGCCGAGACTTCTCGCGCTTTTCGCTCCCTCGTATTTAACCAGCTTCATACCCTGTAAAGCATTGTTACATTTGAACACAACGTAAACAAGAATTCGTAGATCTCATACCTCCATGAAATATATGAGTTTTTGTAAATGACATGTCCTCATTAACTATGCAAATGACCTCTACATTAACATAATATATGCATACTGGTGTTAACCTTCAAGTAACTTACACATGTCACAAGGTATAAAATTCCCGTCATTCGCCAATAAGGGGTCACAAAATTTTCACATTTATTATGCAAGTTAGGTCATCATTTGCATAATTGGTATCTGTTGATCTTCCGCCTGCCACAGATTAAACAGATTACATGTATAGCAGTACTATTATATAAAACACTGTAATTATAGAATTTCCTCATTAATTATGCCAATTAAGTCCTCATTTGCATAATTTGCATTTAATTATGTACAACTCTCTCTCTCTCTCAGGTACCTACATACCAAAAATGATGAAAATACTTTGTTCCTATTTGGCTTTAAAAGTCTTTACCAGAAACTAACCTGCAGTTCCAGAACAAGCTGCTAGGGGGACCAAACTTACACCACTAATTCCTGACAAGATAAGCTATCTGTCACTAAAAAATCAAGACCATAGCATGTTCAGGACATAATATACAAAAACCGCTGCAGTACCAAGGTCATCCATCAGGAGGCCCATATTTGACCTTGACCTTCGTCTTCCTAAGAATTACCAGCATACCAAATATCATCACAATCCATAAAGGCGTTATGAAGTTATGCTGACTACAAATGTGCGGAAGCACACACACACACACAGACGCGCCAAAAACAATACCTCCATTTTTCATGGAGGTAATTAAACATTACCAAAACGGGTCCTTTGTCACCTAGTTGTCACCTAAAGGCTCTCAAGCTTCGGCATAGAAATGTATTGAACAGGGGCCAACTCGAAACGAAAAAAAACTCTAGACTGTGTGCACCATGGTCCACTTTGTTACCTTGTAGAGTGCGACGCCTTGAAAACTGATCTGAAGATGGTACCAGGTGGTCAAGTCCCTCGGGATGGAGGAGAAGACCACAAAAATGTCTCCCTTTGACGCCGCAACGAAGTACAGGCACCTCCCTCCCTCCTCCGCGGGTTTGATTTGGTACGAGTTGGACCACTTCACAGAGCAGGGAGCCTCAACGATACTCGCCAATGCACCGCTAGGACCAACAATACAGTTTTGGTTGACATCCTTCATGGCATATTGATCGTAGCATTTCCAACAAGGACATGAATACAAATGATGAATGACATGCAGTCGCAAAAAGCACCAGTTCTAAATGACTGACTATACGATAGCTCATGCTTATAGAAGTAATGGAATAAGAGTGAGGGAACAGCGATATTTTTTTAATATTTTATACGGTTGCTTTTCTCTTCTGTTCTGCTTTTAACTCTGCTGAGGTATTTTGTACTTTCTGGCGTCCCACCCTTTCTACATGCATGTTAAATGCATGTAGAAATTGCATTAAAATACCATGATTATACACTACAGACTCCAGGAAGAGTAGTGTGAAATTTACACTAATGGAGACCCTAAACAAAACAAACAAACAAACAAACAAACAAACAAACCCATACCTATTGCTCTGTGAGTGCTCCAGAGGACTGATGTACTCCGCTCTGCCAACAACCGAGTTTACGTAGTTGCGGCCTAAATTTCCCAGCAACTGAATACGAATATGCACAAATTCGTAGTTATTATTCCTAGTTAATCGCAGTTTTATTAGACCTTCTGAACGTATCAAAACAAGAAATACAATTCATTTGTATGCATTGAAATATTATCTCAACTTCTATGCACGTTTAAAATTGCCAAATTACATATCAATGCAGCAAAGGGATCGTACGTTAACTGTTACAGTTGGAAACACAAGGGAAAACAACTCTTTACATTGATATAACTATAAAATGAAGTGACAAAAGTTGGATAGCTACATTATTGGTTATGATTTTTAATTACATAATGCAAACTGTTGATTTTTAAGATAAAACGAAGCGTTTATGCCCCGCATTCCAATGCAGGAGCAGGCAAGCTTGACATACCTACCAAAACACTTGAATGCAGTTCATACAGTCAATTTTGGCATGGCTTTGTACAGGTGTTAATTGAGTTAACCCAATCAAATCCAAACAGCCAATCAGCTACATGCCTATTGGTTGCTTGCTCTGCATGCCGTTCTGATGACTCATGCCCAAATTCGGTAACACACTTCTAACAAATTTTCTATAACACAGCCAAAAAGCTCAAATTAAAGCCTGTATCACTGAAACGCCTGGTGGTATTTGGCCACTGTACCTTAATGCCCAATTTCATGTTATTTGGCCCAAAAATGAAGCTGTTGAATCAATTTAAAGAAATGGCAGGAGAATCATGATGATGAGGAGAAGAAGAAACATGAGGAAAAACAATATGTCTTCACCACATAGTGGTGAAGCCATAAAAATCTAAACGTACGAATAGTAATATACAAATAGCCAGTACCGTAGAGGAAGCTGTCTGATCTTCACGTGTTACAGAAAACTTGCCGGTATCTTCATTGTACGTCATCACAAAACCAAAGCAGGAGACCTGAGTAGGTAAAAAAAATTCAGAACCGGTACAATGATGGCATAATAACAATAGCACTGATAAAGAGCAATTAAAATCTAAGACAGAAAGACGTACCTTCTTGTTATCAGTGTCGCCACTCCCTCCGTTTTTATGACTGTTGTACACGTGAAGAGATGTCCCAGGTTCATGGCAGTTCCACCTTGTTGTGAGACAGAACAATTGCAGATAAAGCATTTGTCAGAAAATTATACCTTCCATAGGCACGTTGTAAAACAATGTTTTCAGACGTGTTTAAAGTTAAAAGTTTTGATACAACACAAAAGCTTTTGACCAGTCGCTCTGTCCTTCCTCAGTAGACTGCGTAGACTGCCCCAGTGAGATTTGTCACGTGGCTTCTCTGAAGTGTGACACTGGGTTATGGTAATATAGTACTAGCTATATAGTATTCCCAGACGTACTAGCTATATAGTATTCCCAGACGGTAGTATCTTCAAGTTGTTGAGATCATGTGAATGATCAAAATTAGAATTTGACTAATAGTATGCTAAATGTTTGTAATACCGTGTAAATATGTTTAGTATGTAACTCTACTGAACGTTTTTAAAAATGAATGTGAATCTGTGAACGCAATTCAGCTTTCTGTTACAATGTTCGTGATTTTAGGAATAAACCATTTTTGATTGATTGATTTTAATGGTTCAAGACATTACCTGTTCTCTGCATAAACCACGTAGGCTTCAGTGTCGCTCTTAATGTCACGGTTAATGTCCTCGGGAAGATCAAAGATGATCTGCAATTTGGACAGGGTAACACGTTATAGATATCGCAATCTTATGACGTCCAAACTGTACGTTATGTGTCCTGCTCTGTTTGTAAATAGTTCTTCATATACCTCTCAATTATGTTAATAATATTTTACAATTGGATTTACTCATAAAAATAGA